AATAATTCGCTGCAGTGGCCACACAGAACTCACAGATTACGGGGTTTATTAGGGAAGCACCAGGCTACAATTCAAGTTCAGGAACAACGTTCAGCCAGCCATCTCTCAGCCAACAGTCTCTCTCAGTCTCTCCCAGCAGTGCATGTCTCTTAGTGTTTGTCTCTCAGCAGTGTGTGTCTCTCAGGAGCATGTTTCTCTCAGCAGCACATCTTTCTCAACCAGCAGTCAGAGACTCCTTCTGGCTCTAGAAGGACTCCCTTTGAGCCTGGCAGAGTGAGCACTGACCAATCCCAACATCAGGATTCTATACACCTGAGAGAAAACACACTTTCCAGAAAATTACTTTGTGCTGCTCCCAACAGAAATACCCCATGTGGATAACTTTAACAATCACAAGCTACTCAGTTGTTCATAGCAAATTCCTTCATGGAGTTTACTAAGACTTACGGCTAGAAAAGCCACACTGTGTAATTTACTACACCACAGCCCCCCCTAAGAAATTTGTCCTCTCCCCTTCCTCTCACTTGTGCAGGATCATGGACACAGTTGGTAAATCAACCTCACTTTAAAATAGTCCCTCACTTTCACGCAGGATGAGAAATATTTCCTCTAAGGAGCCCTGGTGGTACAGTGGTTAAGCAGTTAGCACTTGGCTCCTAGCCAAAAAAAGGTCACTGGTTCACTCACTGGCCACACTGTGAGAGAATGATGTGGCAGTCTGCTCCATAAACATTACAGCCTTGGAAACTCTATGGGGTAGTTTTACACTGTCATATAGGGTCACTATTTGGGAGCTCTTAAAATCAACTCAGTGGCAATGGAGTTTTTTGTTTTTGTTTTGTTTTTTGATTTAGGGGTTTTGTTTTCATTCTCTTAATAGGAAATTTCTGATTTTCAAGAATAAGGTGTTTGGGGAATCCATTTCTTTTCAAACTAAGTCCTTAACCCTGCCAAGTGGTAAAATTAACTGAATAGAAGCTATCACTACATGTCGGGCTTAGTTACAGGATGGGTGACCAAGGAGTTTGTGATCAACAAACATGATAAACAACTATGCTTTTGGCCACTCAAGGAGGGGTGTCACACCCAAAAGCTGTGTGGTGGGGTTGTTAGCTGGGGGGGGTGGGGGCCGGACACATGAATGACCAGCTGTCACACTGATCGCCTCTCCCCACCCTGCAGGTCTGCTTTTACTATGCACGTGGAAGCTGGGCATTCAGCGGTTCCTGAGGAGGGCCCCAAAGACCTGCGCTGTCCTCTCTGCCTCTACCACACCAAATACAAACGCAACATGATCGACCACATCGTGCTGCACCGAGGTAACCTTCACAGCGCCCCTCTCCTGGGTGCCGCTTGCAGCATGGGTGGTGTTAGAGTAGTGCCCTCACCTTACCTCTGGGCAGGAGATCACAGTGGTAACCACGGTGACACGGGATAAAAGCCCTTGCTGCCAAAACCATTTCATCCACCAGGAGGGAGGCAGAGGTGTGGGGGTTGTCAGTGATGGTGGTAAACGCTTCCATTGGGCTTCCCAGTCTGAGGGGCTTTTACCCTCTGACGCTCTGCCCCTGACAGCTGTGTAGAGTGCACCTGAGAAGGAGTGAATGAGAAACAGGTAGATGAAGACACATTGTAGAACTGAAGAGGTAGATGGTATGAGAGAGTCTTCGGAGCACAACCAGAGTGATGATTTCCAAAGCAGATGTGCAGATTCCCTTGATGACATGGACGGGGAGAGAGAATTCTTAAAATAAAAGTGGCATGGACAGATTAGAAAACCCATGGACTTTAGATTTCAATTCTGGGTTTAAAGCCTCTGTTCAGCCTTTCTCTTATCTGTAAAAAGGGATATTACACGTCTTATGAGGTAACATGTACAGTGTCTAACAGTATGTCTGGTGTATAATGCATGTTCCATAAATGTTGGTTCCTGCTGATAAATAGTGATAAGTCTTTTAAGTCCACTTTTCCTCTGAGTTGAGTTTACTCTTGGCCAATTAAAACATTACTAAACAACAGACTTCCCTCTGCATTGGAAGGGAAATGTATTATGTTGAACCTGCCTTGTCCTGAAAAACTCAAACTGCAGGTGGTTAGAAGAAGGTCGCTGTGATGGGCACAGCCAGCCTGGCTTGCTTTCTCCACCCACTGTCTTGCCCTCCCTCCTTCGCTCCTACTTTCCCTCTTTCTCCTTCCTTTGCCTCCAGCCTTCCAATGCTTTTCTGCATTTGCCACATAGATTTCTAAAGCAGTGAGTGTTGTCTGCCATTTGACTGAGATGTCACTCACTGTAAAGTGCTGAATGTTTTGGGGTGTTTACTAAGTATCCAGCTTTCTCTTAGAGCCACTGCGTGTCGCCAGCATGTTTTGTGACGTACACACCTATATCTTCTGCCAAAGCGTGAGCTCTGCACAAGGCCCAGCATTTCTCACTCTGATTTCCCCACCTCATTTCTCACACTAATGAGACAGGAGCTCGGTGCTGCTTGGGACGTCCACTTGCAAGCTGGGGAAGCAGCACAGGAGCACCTAGGCAGACATTCCTGGCCCGAGCTGTCCCACATGGTGCTCTGCCTCAGTCACCTGGCTTCCGGTCCCCCAGCCATGTGTTGCGGTGGCTCTGTGCCCCGTCATAGCTTGGGCAGAGGCCATCAGCAGTGTTGCTGTTGAGCAAACAGAAATGGTGAGGTGTCACTTTCTGTGTTGGGTCCCTCTCTTTTCCCATGTTGTTGCCTGGTGGGGAGACCAGAGCTTCGCTGCCTAACAAACTCTGCGACTTTTCTTCCCGGAGCTGAGAAGGGAAGTTGCGGGGCGTGGGGGCAAAGACAGATTTAGGGCCATTGCCGTGAGCTCTACACTTGACAAAGCGCTTCCCACACATGCAGACGCCTTTTGTCTCCCAACATCAAGGTGAGGGACAGACTATTACTGGCATGTCTGTTGCTGTATGTGAAGCTGGTGGTTGAGACAGACTGCGTTTCTTAAACTTAGTGTATTTACTTGTGGTCCACTTCATTTCACAAAGGATCTGAGGTATCTGAAAGACACACATGCAGGACCATCACATTAAAAACATGTGAAGAAACGGGCAAACACAAAATCAAGTGGAACCAGCGGAAAGCATACTAGTAGAATGAGAAGGCGAAATAGAAACACAGAAGCATGGATTCTCAGTGTCTGTCGTGAGGCATGTGTGTTCGTTAGCAGCGGCCTGCACATGTGGCCCTGAGGTTCTCGCCTGCCTTGTGAGAAATCAGAACCTTTTGGATTTGGAATGTTTATTAGATTTTTTTTTTTAAATGCTGTTCAGAAAAGTTTCAGGAACCCTAGACATTGAAACCTGAAAGAAACGTCTCCTGTGAGTTCTTCTAAAGGGGACGATATAGGAGGTACTTGTATTGTCCCCATCATAAATACTTAAGTTTCATAGAGCCAGTGAGAGCTGAAGTCACTTAACCAGTCATCCGACCGGTAAGCCGTAAAGATGTGAGTCAACCCCAGTCCTCTGACCCTGTATCCCACCACCTGCCTGTCAGTCTCTTGTTTATTTAAGGAGATTGTTTTCATTAAAGGGGGCATCTGAGTGTCTCAGTATGTCCTCACTGGGGCCAAAAAGTACACAGTCTGGAATGCACATAAGCATGTGAGGATTTGTAATAATAATATTAATAATTAATAATAACAACAGTTACTGATTGCTTTCTAGGTAGCAGGCACTGTAGTAAGTGCTTTATAATAATTACTTTATGAAATTCTCGCAAAACCTATGTGGTACATACTGTTATTATCCCCAATGATAAATTAAGAGGAAAAATAAAAAAGGGGTCAACTGAGCATCTTACCTAAGGTCAAATGACTAATGAGTGACCCGGTTGAGATCCGAACCTAGGGTTGTCTGACCAACAGCTATGCCTTTAACACCGTCCTACCCTTGAGAAGGCAGTGTCACCCTGTTGAGTGTTCTCCTGGCTCTGGCAGCTGAGTCCAGGGAATGGTGTTATCAGAGGGGCTGGATGTCAGCGACGAGGACCCCAGAACTGCAGATGGTAGAGTGCTTCAGGACAGCCGTGTCTGCCATCTGTGTCCTGGCCTAGCTTTCATGTCCATCTCACCTCAGCATGGCAGCTCAGTGGGAAGCCAGTGTTGACAAGTCAAGAGATTGGGTTGAGTGTCTGCCTTGCAATGTGGGATGGGGCTGATCTCGAAGTAACAAGGTGTGGCTCTTTCTGCACCTGAGCTCTCCTTGCTCTCTGGATGAATAAACATCTTTGGTCCCTAGGGCCTGCAGTGAGAGATCTTTCTGAGGCCTTGGTTAATTAAAATACTTGGGATGAAAGGCAAGGAAAAGAACTTCTGAAGTGGCCCTGAGACAGAGCTAACTAGAGTAGAATTTCCGTAGCTTTTTGTCCGGACAAATTGATATATTTTTGTAAGGAGAAAAGCGAATCCGTTTCAGTTATTTGTAATTGGAATGAGGCATATCTTAGGTTTCTGGGGGCAGTAACAAAAGAGGGCATACTGTTTGTTCGCACATTCAGCAAACATTCATTGTGTTCTCGTTACACACCACAGTGTGGGCTGGGTTCTTTAGACAAGGTGAGATCTATAAGACCTACTACCTGCTCTCCACAAAAGAGGAAGTATACACATAAGTATGATTCAAGGCAGTGGGTGAAGGGTGTCTCGGAGATTCCTGGTTGCAGATACATTTCTGTTTGGGTAGAGAAAGGGGAAGGGGGCTGGGTTTCAAACTGAGCCATGATAAAATTTCAGCAGGCCAAGAAGACTTAAGGTGGGGGACGTGGAGGTGGAGGGCAACAGCATCACAAACCACTGAGGTGAGTGAAAGCAAGACATGTTTGTAGAACAGTATTGGACTGTTCTGAGTACCTGAAGGGAATAAGGAGGCAAGACTAGAAAGGTGTGTTGGAGCCAGATTATGGAGAGCTTGGATACCAACACAGCAATTTGAGCTTGACTCAGTGAACAGATGGAAAGCCAGGCCACATCTTTGAACAGGGTACCAATAAGACACTTGTTGAATGCTCATTCAGCGAAGGTTGAGTAAAAAGATTGGAAGACCTGTCTCTTTGAGGAACTCTGACCTTAAGTCGGATCAACATTTGATGAAGGTGGCCATGAGTTGAGTTTAGCCAGGAAAAAATTCAGCCCTGAGACTTGGGCTTCAAGAACAAAATTGGTGGTAGGCCTTTTGATGGGTTTTCATTTATGCACTAAGTATTTATTGGCCACCAGTCTATGTTTTGACCACCAGCATTGTTTTAAGCCCTGGGAATCAGCTGTGAGAAGATAGGTAAGGTTTGTGCACTGAATGATCTTGGATCCCAAGAGGGGAGAGCCAACAAGTGAGCAAGTAAAGTCAGGAGTGGTTTTCCATTGTCACTGTTGGAAGCACGATGCCCACACATACTTTTATACATAGGTATCTGCTGCACCTGTAGATTGGTCAGACCCTGGAAATTTGGGCACAGATTGAATTTTAGGGATGAAACACAGCTTTGCCAATTATTCCCGTTGTGATTATGGAATCACTGTGCAATCACTGATACTGGTCTCAAGTTTCTGCTTCCCAACCTGTAACCTGCATATGTAGACAAATGGTGAATATCACTGAACTCTGCAGGTGCTCTTCCTTTTGGAATGGAACTCAACCAGTTGCCATCCAGTCAGTGCCTACACACGGTGTCCCCGTGTATGTAAGAGTAGTACTATGCTCCATAGGGCTTCCAGTGGCTGGCTTTCATTCAGGGTGCTCTGGTGGCACAGTGCCTAAGGCATCTGACTGCTAGCCAGGAGGTTGGTGGTTCAAACCCACCAGCTGCTCTGTGGAAGGAAGATGGGACAATCTACTGCCATAAAGATACCGCCTTGAAATTGACTCAGTGGCAGTGAGTTTGGTTGTTTTGAGTTTGGCTTTCATCCAGTGGTTTGAAGTAGATCACCAGGCCTTCCTTCTGAGGTGCCTTTGGGTGGATGCTAGACTTCAACCTCCAACCTGTCCATTAACCACCGAGCATTTAAGTGTTTGTGCCATTCCAGGGGATAGAACTCATGTCCCCTAATTTTCCTGATCAGTATCGTCTTTCCTGAGAAAAAAGGAGTGCAGTGAGATTTCAGACCTTTAATTTTATTCAATGACAGTATAAGTTCCCTTTCATCCCCACCAAATACTGCTGTGCCTGTTAGAGTTTGAGGTGCCATTCCCTGCACCCCCTCAGTTGCAAGAGGTAGCTTGACTAACATCACAATACCAGGCACTATTGCGTTATGTTCACACGTGTCTGTTTGTGGTTTTTGTTTTTGATACCATCATTTTCTCAGTGGCATTCTAGCACTCGGTCTTGGTCACTTGGTTGGCAGAGAGTAGGAGGTAGGTCTTTGGTTTGGCCCCAGCAGCATCTGAATCCTCTGGAATGGTAATTTGCATACCACACTTGGTGGAGTGACTGAATTCCTAATCTATCCATGCTTCGTTTTGACTTGGCATGACTGGGGGCAGAAACCCGGGCACGGTGTGGTCTGCCTTTCAGGAAGAATCCCTGCGTGCTAACTGGGGCCTCCATGAGGCCCTGGCCTTTGACTGATTTGGGCAGAAGTGACCCCTCTGTAGTTGCAGCTCTGCAGATGTTTCACGGGAGCTGGACACCACCCACCTCCTGGCTCCTATTCTGCCTTAGTTCAGATAGGCTTTGGGGGTGGCGTTACTCTCGGGTCCAGCCTCTTGGGTTTTGTGTACTCTGCAGCACTAAGCATCTTCTGAGTAGGAGGAGATGAGAGCCACAATTCATCTCTTAGTTGTACTGGTGATTTCATAGTGTTTTTGCAGCCAGAGCTGGAAGCTGGACCACAATGAGTGTGATTCAAGCCTTCATTTCTCACCCAAGCTAATTTAGAAGCGTGTGAAGTCAAGAAAGACCTACAGTTGTCACTGCGTTGAGCTGAAGCCAAGGCAGGGCTCAGGCCATACCTTGAACATTCCTGTCTCCCATCTTGTATTCTTCACCTGTCTTAGTAATGCATAACCTAGTTTGTAAAGCACTGCCATTTCCCTCCTTGAAAGTCCACGTTGTTTTTTATCATGGTCATTTTAGCCATGTTTTTGGAAAGGAGAAAAAGTTGACTTCTTTCTAAAGTTAATGTCTTAATAAAAAAAAATCCTTAGACCAAGAAAATTGGTGAATTGGTAATGTCTTGGAGAGGAAATGGCAGTCTTCATTTCAGGGTAGGTCAGCAGGGAACTTGGTTGCAGTCCATCCGGAAGATATTTGAAACACAATTCTCATGTAAATGATGACCCTAGAATCTATACATTTTGTATTTGTAAAAGAGTAGTGATAAGAGGTTTATCAGTATGCTGTGTCCGGCATGGGTATTCCCCATGAACCCTTTTTCTGGGGAGAAGGAGGGTCAGGCTGAGCTCAGGGCACCTATGCACCCAGCACCCAGCACCCAGGTCCCTGCTTTGTGCTGAACTGGAGATGTGACTTTGAGGGAAGCCACTTAGGGTCATCAATACATTGACGATAATGAAACCGAGTTTGCAGGGTTTTAAAGGATAAAGGATAGCAGTGAGGGTGAGACACCAAACAGTGCTCCAAACACAGTGAGCACTTAATGAATCTTAGTAGTTGTTTACATTCATCATTATAGTCAAATTCCAGGGAATTCTTCAGAGTGCTCGTGACTTTGTAGAAAATTCACTGACACACACACAGTGCAATTAGAAATGCCGAAGAAAACTAACCCAAGTGGTAGAGGAATTGAAAAGCAGAGTTAATCACAAAAAAGTGTGAGTGAGGTGATTAGTGACTGTGGCGAAGTGAAGGCTGGAGAGTCTTTGAGGTGTGTGAGGCATCCTTGTGTGGAAAATTATACCCAGCTGTTCTCCATCTCCTCTGGGGTCTGACAGAACCAGGCTGGATAGGACACACCAGTGCCAAAGAGATGGCAAGGTGTAAGTCAGGATCCTAGTGCAAGGGGAGATGCAGTCTCAAGGAAGGTGCCAAAACAGTTCATGTCCTCTCTCTCCACGAACTTCTCAAGTATGAAGTCATGACCATTAGTGTCCCATCTCTTGCGTGGGCACCAGCCTGTCCACAGGCCACTGTCACACATACCTTACCCAGAGCAGCTAGAATGGATGCCTGGCACGTTGTTAACAATGGTCATGATCAGTTGAGGTGTGGGGGAGTGATTTTGCAGAAGCCAGAGATGCTGACAAGTATCCCACCACGCACAGGGAAGTCCACCCCCACAAAGAATTATCCAGCCTCAGAGTGCCTTAGTGCCCCCACCCGGGGCTGGAGGAGTGGAGTGTCCTAGCATAGGGTTCTTAGAGCTCTAGTTTAAGCCACGGCATTATTTCACGTCTGTTTACACCAAACCATGGAACTGAATGGTTAGAAGAGTGTTCAGCACTTGGCTATTCTAAGAAAATGTGCAGATTGCATTATAACCATGTGTTTCTTAGCTGTCTACTATACATTAGTTAAAGATAATTTCTGTTTCTAAGTAAGTGACTGGCTCTTTGAATAGGGGAAATAGCATGTGCCTTAGCACTCCAGGGATTACTTGGTTGACACCAGCCTTCCTTTGCTTAGCGTTTTGTTGGCCCAATAATCACTGCTTTCAGGAACTCCCAAGGCACTGACTGCCCCGCAGGTCCAATGTGGTGGTTGAGACTGAGCGTGACATGGGGTGGGAAACATGCCCTGTGGACCCAACAGAGGCCAACAGCAGAGGGAGGACTCCCCACTGAGTGAGCCGCATTGGTGCACAGAATAGTAATGCCTGGAAGCATCGCTGCGTGGTGATGCTAAGAAGTGCTGCTTTCTTGACTTAATGACACATTACTGCTTCTCAGTAACATGAGTCGCTGGGTGTGTGTCCATTGTGAACTTGTAGAGCCCTCTAAAACCCAGACATAGCATGAAAACGCACGCTATATTTGATGCTTGCGTAAATAGCACAGATTTTAATTTTATCCCAGTTATGGATATCTGGCGTGTGCGCCGATACTCCGGGCAGACGGGTGTGATATTTAATTTGAGCATCTACACACAAGGGTGAGGGGGTGCAAAGCAAACAAGCTCACGCGTTCCCAGCCCTGAAGCATGTGGTGTGCCGAGAGGGGGAGCGCCCACAGCCCCCTCCTCTCTCATCTTTCCACTTCAGACAGGCATATTACAGATTGTCTGAATAGGCAAAATCTGCCCTGTCCCCCACTCCCTCCCATAGCCCCCGAATGTTCTCCGCAGCCGTTGCCTTTGGGAGCTCTTCACCCTTTGGAGGTGGAGGGTTAGTGAACGGAAGTGTCCAGGTCTGTTTTCCGATTTGATTCTTAGATTAGATATTCTCTGTCTCTTGGGAAAGGAGAGCACTGTGCCCGAGAACATCTTGGATGGGGAAACAGTGACGGACTTGACAGTGATGGGTGGACAGAGTCCTGGGTGGTCATACACAGCTGCTAGCTGGAAAGGTAGGCAGTTCGAGTCCACTCAGGCACCTTGGAAGAAAGGCCTGGCAGTCTACTTCTGAAAAATCAGCCATTGAAAACTGTGTGGAGCACAGTGTTTTCCTGACACGCACGGGGTCACCGTGAGTCAGAACCAAGTCCATAGAACTGGACAAAGTATGTGGATTTACAATTGGAAAGACAGGGATTCAGATCTTTGCCAAGTATAGTATAGTATCTGTGACCTTTGATGTGCCACTGTGTCCCTCAGTCAAAGTAACTTTGGAAAGTTACTTAGGAGCTCTGTGCCTCAGTTTACTCATTTTTGAGATGGAGTAACTCCTGCCACATAGACTTGTTGGTCGGAAGCTGCCAGCACAGCAGTGACACATAGGTGCTCAGTTAATGTCAGATTCCTTCCCCTCTAAAAACAACCCCTAAGTCCAGCCTAAATCACTCTCTGAGGGAGTAGAAAATGCACATGGCCAGTGTCAGTAATGAGTAATGTTGGTAAAAACAGCAACCACTTCTGTTCCTCATTCCTACCGTGATTACCCCTATCCCGGAGTCCCTGGGTGGTGCGAATGAGTCCTGACTGTCCGTCTGCAAAATGGCTGGTGACTCGCACCCACCCAGAGGCACCTCAGAGAAGAGGCCTGACAACCGACTACCGAAATGTCGCCTGTCGGAAACCCCTGCGGGACTTTCAGGCTCCGACACACCTGGGGTCACCAGAGTCAAAATCGAATAGACAGCACCTGTTTCCTTGTTTTGTTTTATTCAGAATTTAACCAGGACCTTTCCGCCTGCCCCGCCTCTGTTTATGAGCTGTTTCAGGTATCAAGTACACAAGAAACTTTGGTCTCAGAAATACCAACTTGTACCAGACGAACATGTTGGTTTGACAGTTGTGGGGAGGAAAACAGGGTACATGGGTGTGGGGCTTAAGAACTCAGACCTGTGAGAAGTACCAAACTAAATGTGGATTTCTTCTCATAGTCCAAAGAAAGGCTGTCTGCATTCCGTTAGTAAAAATCCCCATCTTTCCATTCAATTTGTTTCCACAGAAGAGCGAGTGGTCCCCATTGAAGTGTGCCGTTCCAAACTGTCAAAATACTTGCAGGGAGTAGTTTTCCGCTGTGATAAGTGCACCTTCACCTGCTCCAGTGACGAGAGCCTCCAGCAACACATAGAAAAGCACAATGAACTGAAACCTTACAAGTGCCAGCTGTGCTACTATGAGACCAAGCACACGGAGGAACTGGACAGCCACCTTCGGGATGAGCATAAGGTACTGGCCCGGGACCTGGTGCCTCCTGCCCTCAGCGCACCTGTGGGGAGGGCCCGGTGGGGAGAGAACGAGTACATGTGGTCACACGTACTGTCTATAAGACGGACAAGAGCTAAAGCAATGTTTAAAATGAATATGTAAGGTCATTGTAGAGAATTGGAAAATGGGAGAATGAAAACCACTCATAATTTCACCACCCAAATTCAACAGCTGAACCTTTGTGGCCTTTCCTGTGTCCATTTTCCTTTGTTTTACATAGTTGTACTAAAGCTATACACACAATACTACTTACACCTGGCTTTTTTTCACCTACTAGGTGTGTTTCCGTGTCATTTTAAATGTATTATCATAAGGGTTGGCAAATGCCGTCTGTAAAGGGCCAGATAGTAAAGATTTCCGACTCTGCAGACTGTGTGGTCTCTGTGGTAACCACTCAGCTCTGCCATTGTAGTAAGAAAGCAGCCATCCACAATACATAAATGAATGGGAAGGGCTGTGTTCTAATAAAACTTTATTTACAAAAACAGGCAACGGGCCATGGGCTCACAGTTTACCGACCCCTACTCCATCAGATGGATGGGCCACCGTGTCCTTCAGTCATGTAGGTTGTTTCCAACACTTTGCTGACTGCAGAGATTGTCACAGGCATCCCTGTGAATGTCTGACTATGACAAAGACTGGAAAATGTGTTTTATTTTGGGAGAGCAAAGTCATAGGATGGCTTTCTCACTGTGCACAAGCCTTGGTTTACCTTGTACATCTGAGCTGAGACCACCTTTCTAGTTCTGTGTGTTGCCCAGAGTGTTGTAGGAGCTCTGATTAGTACTTATTTCATCAGAAAAACCTATTGAAATATTTTCTAATTAACCAGCAAATCCAAAGCATCTGTTGAGCGTTGACTAATATCAGAATGAGAAGCACTTTTGATTGGGTTCCCCTTTTTCTTGTTTGTATCTTCATCAGTGGAAGTAGGGCTCTTTTCTGACCCTACAAATCCAAGTTGTAAACCTTTTAGTCCAAGGCATCTGCACCCACGAGTTAGCGTTCTTGTGTGACATAAGGAGAGAAGGCTAAGCTTTATCACTTGTGCACAGTTTAACGGCTCTATGGTAAATTGTCTGCCTTGGAACTCATTTATTGTCTCGTGTGTCTGCCCAGAAAGGAACGCAGAGAGGAAAAGTTGGGATTAGCCTCACATACGAACTTTAATGTTTTTCTTATTCAGACATCCTGGGCATTTCTTCCCCCAAATCAAAGGGAAATCACTCATCCATTTCAAGCCAGCCATCCGCATTGACTCACATAGCTCCTCTTTCCATAACCGCTTCACTCTTTTTATGGCCTCCAGCCTGGTATTTGGGGAAAGAGCAAATCAGGAAAAGGGAGATTCTTCCCTGGTTGTAGCACCTTAGCTTGCAAGTCACTGGGGCAAGACAGAGAATGTTAGAAACTCTGTCAGACCTGGAACTGGAAGCTTCCTGACCAGTCAGTCGGTAGAAGGCTGAGGTGCTGAGATACAGGCCAGGGAAATAGATTGCGTGGCAAAGAAAAGATCCCCAGCGTTAAGGTTTTGCAGATAAGCAGACCTGGGTTTGAGTCTTGTCTCCACCATCTGCTATACCGACTTGGAGTAAGTTACTTCAGCTTCTGTGCCTGTTTACTGATTTGTCAATGGGAATGATTTCTTCCTTAGAAGTTCTGTAAGGATTAAATGAAGTCTTGGTACTTCCCCTACTCTGAGCCCAAAGTGTCCTTAGAATATTGGTGAGATGCAGTTTTCCTGTAGAATGATAATAATTGTAGGAGCTCTGGTAGCATAGTGCCTAAGATATTTGACTGCTAACCAGAAGGCTGGTGGTTCAAACCCACCAGCTACTCCTCAGAAGGAAGACTGGGCAATCTACTTCTGTAGAGATACCACCTTCGAAACCCAAGGAAGGGTCACTATGAGTCAAATCCAACTCAATGGCAGTGAGTTTGGTTTTTTTGGAATACTAGTTAGTTGTACATATAACTGTATAGTATAGTTGTACTCCTCGGAAGGAAGGTTAGGCAATCCTACTTCCGTAGTGATACTGCCTCGGAAACCCAAGGAGGGGTCGCTATGAGTCGGGGCCGACTCGACGGCAAACAACAACAACAACAACGTACATATAAAGGCAGTTACATTTCTAAAGACAAAAAATACAAAATCATTCATTACACCTTGCATTTTAGACACAGGCTTTGATGTTATATTTCCACTATGTCATATTGTATCCTTTCATTTCATTCTTTCTTATGGTTGACTAGTTTATTATTAAGTCCAGTGAGTGCCTAATTGAGGCTAAAGAATTGTCACTCTCAGCACACCTAATGATTTTTATCTTTGTTTTAATTGTTAGTAAGTTTCTGAGACCTCTGCTTATTGCAGTGGCACAGTGGTTAAGTGCTCTTCTGCTAATCGAAAGGTCAGTGATTCAAACCCACAAGCTGCTCCGTGGGAGAAAGATACGGCAGTCTGCTTCTGTGAAGATTTACAGCCTTGGAAACCCCATGGGGCAATTCCGCTGTGTCCTGTTGAGTCACTGTGAGTCAAAACCAAGTCAACAGCAGTGGGTTTGGTTTGGGGCATGCTAATTACTGATGACAGCACTTTCTTTTTCCCATTTTCTATTCCTTTTCTTCCTAAGTGATGAGTGTAAAATGCAATTAAAATTTTTGAAGTAATTGGTCAAACGCTATTATGTTGGCACAGATGCTAATGCTGCTGAAACGGAATTTTAGGTGATAGGCAGTGGCACTATGTGCTAGTTAAAAGTTGTCATTCGTCAGGGTGAAGGATGCAAAGGTCTGATTCCAGCACTCAGGAGGGGTGTCAGTGTGCTAAAGAACGTGTCACGAACAAGTCAAACACAAAGTCAGAGGCCATAGGCCAGAGCAAGAAATTAAAGGCATAGGGATTGGAAAGGAAGGCATAAAACTGTCTCTACTCACAGACATGTGACCTGTGTAGGGAGGAAATCCTAAGAAATCTACAAAGAATCTACTAGAACTTACAGTTACAGGGTACAAGGTCAATATACAAAGAGCAATTATGTTTCTATATACTGTTGTTGCTATGGTAGAGTCCGACCGACTCATAGCGACCCTTCCTTGGGTTTCTGAGGCAGTATCACTAAGGAAGTAGATTGCCCAACCTACCTTCCAAGGAGTGGCTGGTGGGTTTGAACCGCCAGCCTTCTGGTGAGCAGTCAAGTGCCTTAGGAACTATGCTACCTGAGCAGTCTGAAAATTAAATAAAGACATAAACTCAGTTCCATTTACAATAATATCAAAAAGAATAAAATATTTAAGAATAAATTTGACAGAGAACTTCAAGAGCTGTATACTTGATGCTTGACAACTATAAAATATTGCTGAGAGAACTAAAGGAAGAACTAAATAAATGCAAGATGGCCTATGTTCATGATTTGGAAGACTCAATATTGTTAAAATCATAATTCTTCCCAAACCGATCTACGTATTCAACATAATCTCTATCAAAATCGCACTGGACTTTCTATTTCTTAGTAGAAGTTGACAGTCTGATTCTAAAATGTATATGGAAACAAAGGCCCTAGAAAGTTTAAGCAGGATGGGAAAAGAAGAGCAAAGCTGATTTCAAAAGTTACTGTCAAACGGCAGTGATCCCCTTGGTGTGATATCAGTGGAAGGAGAAATGCACAGATCAGTGACACAGAGGAAGGGTGGGGTTTTTTCCTTTCTGTTTTTAATAAATGGAGCTGGAACAATTAGATTTCTGTGTGCAAAGTAATCACCCTGGACCCTTGGTCTCACACTGGACACAAAAACTAACTGAAGATGGCTCAGAAACCTAAATGGAGAAGCCAAAACTATAAACTTTTAGAATAGTAGAAAGTCACGCAGTCCTGAGCTAAGGAAAGATGGCTTAGATATGGCACAGTTACACGCCATAGAAATTAAAGGAAAAAGTCTATAGATTGAATGTCATCAAATTAAAAACCTCTGCTCTTCAGAAGACACCATTAAGAAAACAAAAAGACAAACAACTGATTGAAAGCAAATATTTGTAAAATAAATATCTAACAATTTGTTGTAAGAATATATAAAGAACAGTTACAACTCTAGTAAGAAGACAGTAACCCAATTAACAATGAGTGAAAGATTTGACTAGACATTTTGCCATAGAGAAATACAAATAGTCAGTAAGCCCATGGGAAGATGTGCAGCATGATTTGTCGTTGTTGTTAGGTGCCATTGAGTTGGCTCCGGCTCATCGCGACCCTGTGTCCAACAGAACAAAACACTGCCCGTCCTGTGCCACGCTCACAATCCCTGTCACACTCGAGCCCATCAGTCCAGCCACTGTGTCAATCCATCTCATTGAGGGCCTTCCCCTTCTTCACTGACCCGCCACTTTACCGAGCATGACATCCTTCTCCAGGGACTGGCCCCTTCTGACAACATGACCAAAGTAGACGAGACAAGGTCTGGCCATTCTCACTTCTAAGAAACATTCCAGCTTCACTTCTTCCAGGATCTGTTTGTTCTTCTGGCAGTCTGTGGTATTTTCAGTATTCTTCTCTAACACCATAACTTAAAGGCATCAACTTTTCTTTAGGGAAATACAAAGTAAAACCATGATGAGATAGTACAGCCCACCTACTCAAAAAACAACTCACTGCCATCAAGTCGATTACAACTCACAGCAACCCCCATTGGATTTCCAAGGCTGTAAGTTTTATGGAAGCAGACTGCCTCATCTTTTTTCCTTGGAGCAGCTGATGAGTTAGAACCACCACACCAACCATTTGGTTAGTAGCCAAATGTCTTAACCACTACACCACCAGAACTGCTGACCCACGTATTAGAATGGCTAAAATTAAGAAGACTGTTAGTACCAAGTAGAGGCAGGGATATGGAGAAACTGGAAACCTCATATACTGTTGATTGGAATGTAAAATGGTATGGCTGTGTTGGAAGCAATTGGGCAATTT